TGTCTACCATCGGAGATGTGTGTTCTTGCTGCAGTCCCTTAGTGTGTCAGTGTGTGTGTGCAGGTGTGTGTGTCAGTGTGTGTGTGTGTGCAGGTGTGTGTGCAGGTGTGTGCAGGTGTGTGTGTCAGTGTGTGTGTGCAGGTGTGTGTGTGTGCAGGTGTGTGTGTCAGTGTGTGTGTGTGCAGGTGTGTGTGTCAGTGTGTGTGTGTGTGTGCAGGTGTGCAGGTGTGTGTGTCAGTGTGTGTGCAGGTGTGTGCAGGTGTGTGTGTCAGTGTGTGTGTGCAGGTGTGTGTTTCAGTGTGTGTGTGCAGGTGTGTGTGTGCAGGTGTGTGTGTGCAGGTGTGTGTTTCAGTGTGTGTGTGCAGGTGTGTGTGTGCAGGTGTGTGTGTCAGTGTGTGTGTGTGTGCAGGTGTGTGTTACCTGAGCAGGACTCTAGCAGACTGCAGGCCTTCAGGTCCCAGAGCTGCAGCTTCATGCAGAGCCGTGGTCCTCATTCTGAGGAGGTTCAACCGGTTTAGAAAGTGTACCTGTTTTATTTTCTTATGCTCACTGTTTCTCTGGTGTTTTGTCGTATTGGTCACATGTGTTTGCAAATCAAGTAGAAGATAAAAAGGAAAACTCAAATCAGAGTTTCTGGTAAAAGTAATGAGGCGAGGCGGTGCTGCTCGGTGTTGAAGGCAGAGCCACCGAAGATAAACTACCCAACTACGCCACCGGGGGAGTTTCACCCCAGGGCCTATTAAAGTGAACACCTCACGTAATACAAAGGCTACACGAGTTTAGTGACTGAGACAAGGCAGAGACTGGACTGAATTATCATTGTGCTAATTGGTTCAAACAAATCTAGTGGTTTTTCCATCAATGGCCCGTCAGGAACTGAGGAGACGTTTGCTGTGTTTGTGAAGATCACAGATTTTCTTTGCATTGACTTTATTTTGAACGTCCATTCCCCTTGAACTCACTTTTTAAAAGGATTATCAGTCGTTCCTTTACTTTAGTGGCGTTAAGAACATTTTCTGTAATGCATCTATTTCGTCTCTTTCCATTGACTGTATATCAAATCAACTTTGTGATATATATGTTTACGCAGCATTAGAAAAGTTAGTTTCTGGTTCCTCTCTTACGGTCCGGACTGCTGGTCCACGTCGGCGCCTCTTTGCACCAAAACAGGAAGTACGTCATGGTGACCGTTCACTACGGCAACCGCCAGCGCGTGCCGGCCGTCGCCGTGGCAGCAGGAAGGATCCGCCCCCTGAAGGAGAAACAGACCAATCAGAGTGAAGTTTATCAGCAGAGCAGGCGTCTGATTGGCTGCTGAGGCTCGTACCTGGTCCAGGAGCTGCTGCACGGCGCTGACCCGACCCCCCCCCGGACCCAGCTCCTTCAGCAGCTGCACGTCCAGCACCTGCACACCGGGGACCAATCACAGAGCAGCACACCACTTCAGGTGAGTTTCTTCTTCTTCTGCTTTAAGTTAGTGTAATGGAACATTGTATCATGCTGAGGGAGCATTTCAAGAATCTGTTCTTCTTTTACAAGACATTTCTAACAAAATGATTGACAGGTGGCAGTAAAACCTAAACGAGTCCTAAATGATGTTAGAGTGATTCTAAGGTTAGTGCAGACACGATGTTTCTCCGTTTGCTACAAGGTGTGTTTCAAAGAATCCTGTATGTTCAGACCCTCTGCAGACCCTCTGCAGACCCTCTGCAGACCCTCTGCAGACCCTCTGCAGACCCTCTGCAGACCCTCTGCAGACCTCCTGATGCAGACTGCTTGACTCTGTGACGATTTACCTTCTTTAAGAATAAACTCC